GACCACCGATTTCGATCATGTCCAATATGTGCTCCAGCGGCGCGGTGGTGCAAAGAAGTCGAACTAGTTTCACTGATATCAGACTTACATTGCATCTACCGCATTCTCCTTTCTCAGCCACCGATGTCCGGTATCTAGACGCCAGCGACTATACCACTTAGGAAGCATTTTGAGTCATAATAACGTAACCTCCCGCGCTTGTCATATGGCATGAATTTATGAACTTACTAGCCTGATTCTAGTGTTTGCTCTTTTTTAATTTTGTCCCACCTGTCCCGTGCATTTGGCATCGCCTGTGAGCCGAGATGCTACGTTTATATCATTATACTACTCGTGATGAGTGAGTAGCAGTGTATGTTTACTATTTACCACTAACTCATAGCTGTTCACTTTTCACCTGAAATCTTGTGAACGACCACTGTCTGAAATTTTCTACTGTATCGATGCATTTTTCAGTCATTATTTCACCAATAGGGAGCTCAAAGGTGTTTGCCTATCTTTACCCCCAATACAAAACTGACCTGCTAGTATCCTAGCACATGAATGATGAACACTTCCCTAACCACTCTCTTTTACCTTCCAGGAGCAACTGCTTGACCCCACCGGCAAGGAGTCTGCCGCCGTGCGACTGGCTCACGGAGAAGCCCAGTTGATCCACGACCTACGCCTCTTCCTCCTCAAGGCAGGTGTTCGGCTAGACCTCCTTGAGGGTGCGGGTCCGTCGGGTGATCAGGGTCGCCGGGACCGCACCGAAGTGAATAGGGCCGGGACTCACCGCCAACTCTCAGGTCAAGCCTTTATCATCAAAAACCTGCCTGTGGGTACCAAGGAGGTGGAAGTTGGCGACCTCATTCAGCGCCTAACGAAGAGTGGTGGCAATCAACTGCCGGCGCCGCGACGCATCATTCTGCCGCCTCTCGGTATCACTGCTATTGTCGACTACGAAGTCCCTCAGGTTGCTAAAATGGCCTATAAGGCACTTGCTTACGAACCGGTGAGTCTCAACGCGATCGGTTAAAAGCTTCGCTGTTTTTGTCTGTTATAACATCTGCATATTTTCTATAGCGATATAAACAGGGACTGGGTCATTGCTTCGTGTAATAATAAACTAATTTTGCATTTTCAATAGCCCGAATTTCCCTTTTTTCATTAAATCCCGCCAATATAAGGTCAAATTTTCATCAATAGGCATCAGTTGCTTGAACAACAGGAGTTCAAATTGATAGAGTTGATTATATTTAGTTCATTAAAACAATTATAACTGGCTTTAATTTAATGTTCTTTGATCACTTCCAACACAATTAAATATTCATTTGCACTCGTTAACCGAAAGTCAGCCGTTCACCACCAACTCCTTAAGACAGTTGGGCGGGGGAAAAGATATTTAGGCGGACCTACAAGACAGGTTTGCTCATCTTCCGCAGATTCTCGACAGCGACTGGTTCATTGGTTCGTGTAATACTTACTCACAGTATTTCTATATCACCAACTGGCTTCGTCTGTTTAGATGTGTTAGGTAGTCATTCGTATATGGTTTGAGGTCAGCCATGGGCTTTAAAATGACCACTGGCAACATTTCTTACTTAGATAGCCTTTGAGTTGTTGTTACCAAATTAAACTCGTTCATGCCTGCCTCTTTTTATGTTTCAGTATAAGGGTAATATTCTCTTCCTACAATGGGCTCCCGACGGCATTCTATCTCCCAAGGAAGACGAGGAGGCTTCAGATGTCGAAGAGTCCGAAAAAACCGATGGCAGAAAAAAGGAGTCGAAGTCAACCAAAAAACGGTACAAACCTCCATAATAGGACTCTTTTTGCATCTTTTTTTCCCTGTATGTAGTTAAAGTTGCACCGTGTGGCATTTCTGAAACGCAGGGCTGGGTACATTTATAAATTCCCACAAGATCTAATCGGTACCAAACATAAACCCGTGCCTTGTTCACACCACCCATGATTGAGCGCACTCGTCAACCGACTCGCTGACATGGTCTGCCTCTCGCATGTAGTGATATTTTCACCGAAAACTTGAATGTTTTGTGATATATATAGTACGTATACATCTGTGTGGCCCTCTCTACGTCTGTTCTAGCGTAATAACATTTTGTGCGCCTCTCTTTCATTTCTTCCCACAGAAATGCAGAACCCGCCGAGAATATGGAAACTCTCATATCCATGGACGAATCTGCTATGGAGGAACCGACTGGTACTGAGGACTCCGAACTTGTCACAGAGTCCAAGTGAGTGTTTTACTCCTCCCCACTTTCCCATCTTTTATTTTTCACAAGCTGATGCGAACGTTCGCTTACGTAGGAAGGAGGAGTGCGGTTCGGTCGACGAAATCATTTCTTTTTCTGAGCCTTCGAATTCTTGCAGGAGTCCACTGTCAAAGATAAGCAGTAGCAGACCGGGCAATATTTATTTCGAGTAGGAGCCAATCAAACTTCAGGAACACCGTTCTAGGGGTGGCTGCGCAGGGCTCTGTACGCCGGCGCCAAATCGATACGTCGATTTTTATTTGAGCCCCAGGCTTGTTTTCCATCTAGTGTGGGCGATTATCTTCGTAGCTGGGACTTGGTCTAGCTACTGTTTACTCTATCTATCCTGCCGACGACTAACTGCTTTCTTTCACACACACAAAAAATAGAAAAAGCAAGAAACGCCGGAAGGCGGAAGTTGCTCCGGCAGCGGATGAGTTAGATGTGGCCGAAGAAGTGCCAAAGAAAAAGTCTCACAAGGAAGTGCCTGCAGCGGCCACCAATTCCTCGGATAATCGCGTCCTTCTTGTCCGTAATGTGGCCTTCCAGGCCTCTGAAGCCGAACTGACGAGCCTCTTCAAACCCATCAGTGGTCTCCTCAAAGTCCGCATGCCCAAGAAGGTCTCCGGCGGTCACCGCGGTTTTGCTTTTGTGGAATTTGTGAACAGCGAGCAAGCCGAGGTATGCTTTAATAGTACCGTAGATATCTGATATTATGTATAACTGTTAAGGCGAACGCCTTAAGTAAGTATCCACGTTTCTATTTGTGCAGCACTACAAAACCCAGGTCTGGGTGTGCTCTTTTGAATTATTCCCATACTAGAGCCTTTACGCACAGTTTTTACAAGTCTCCTTACACATAATGTCTGTTCCATGACCACTTCCGGTTACCAGTCTGTAGTCCCTTCATTCGCTAAAATTGTAACGTATACTTTCTATAATGCTTCTAACGGAGTGGCAAATAGTTTTTAAGCCGTACTACATATAAATCAACAAAGGTACATACTCAGCTGAAGAAAGTTATCACGATCCGCAGCACCAGAGATGAATATTGTGACACGTCATGCTGTCATGTAGCCCTTCATTTCCGAGCGTGATAAGATGCCGTTAGAATCCGTTTTAAAAAGTGCCCCTCAGAAGTAGGCTTGCCAGGCCATCGCATTAAACCCGGCCTGTCTGTATCTTGTCTGCCATAAACTGGTCAATTTCTTCAGTCCAACATGCAGACAAATGACATGAAAAGCTGACAATAAAATTCTCTTCCTTTTTTCGTGGTGATTATTTATGCGAACCCATTTGTTGTGCATCCTATACATTTTCCTGATCTGTCTTCTGCTCTGACCTTACAGGTTGCCCTACAAACTTTTGGAGCCGATACTCACTTCTATGGTCGGCGACTGAACGTCGAGTATGCGAAATCCACAGGATAGGCCTGAAATCCACTCCCTGCGAACAGAGTTCCATTGTAAAATACAAAACCGGCTCCCTCCTCCACCGCTGTAATTTCCGACTTTTTTTAATCTAAAAAGGCTACTTTTCCACGCAACTCTGTCTCCCCCAGAGACTCCACCTCGTCGGCCGTTGACTTCGTTTCCTATTAGAGGAGTGGGTGTAGGAAGGGGTGGATGTCGTCTAGCTCATATTTACCATAAACCGACTTAATATTTAAATCGCATGCCACACTCTCAACATCATAATCACCACGTGCAATCAGTTAACTATTACGTCTATGAGACGGTGGAACCCACCAGACGCTCATTGCCTTTTTGAGATCTTTTTACTACTGATCGAATCACAAGTTAGAGGAATTACGATGATAGCTCCAAGTACTTGATACGGCTGCGATTACGTCTGATCTAATCAGCCTCGTTGATGTCACGAAATGTACCTCTCTACTAATGCCGATTCATCACAACAGACAGACAACTTTCATGTTCAGGCTTTGAGGTGACTCCTTCTACGTTGCTGCCAAGTGGCTAAAGGTGCCGATTTAAGGCAGTAACAGTGAGTTCGTCAGACAAGGAAAGTTCCCAAATCACATCAGTAGTCTTTTTGATGGCCGGGGATGATCTTGCGATGTTGTCGCAGCGATTGCCGGCTGTCTCATTTGAAACGAAGTCGGCGTACGGCACTCATGTGGGTGTCCTCAACCAGTAGTAGTTAATTACCTCAAGTTATTGGTCAGCTTCAAAGCGGATCGCCCAGCGTACTTCGATTAGTTCGCCGTGTGCTCTACAACACGGTAGGGACGGTGACTCTCGCGTGAATTAGTTTAGTGATGGTAGACTTTCGCTGCATCTACCGCACTCTCTTCCCTCACGCACCTTTTCCCGGGATCGGACGCACCCAAAGCCGTCCTTATGAATTTGTTATCGGAGCGCCCAGCGGACCGATCGGATGCACAGTACACGCGAATCTTCATGACCATGGAGATGTGGCGTTGGATATATAGGCGCTTTATAAGGCTCGACAAAACCTGATGAACTACATCGATCCAGGTCCCATTCGGCAGCAGCCGTGTCCGAGGTACTTGAGACTGCTTACATTGTAAAACTGGCAGTCAATAAGTCCGAGATACGCCCTCAGATGAGGAATGCAGTATGAAAACACGGGTTATCCCAGCGCTTGTGTATAAACGGACGGAATGGACGACTTCGTTCACCCATGAAACTACAGACTATGGATCACCAAAGCTGTAAATAAGCAAGGCAATATCGTGATCTCTGTCGAAATCAGCCAAATGGCATACGGGTGTGAACCCAACAAGATCAAAACCTAAAGGGCCCCTCCGATAACCTAGTAAGTGGTATAAAAGCTACAACATTGTCCAGCGCCAGACAAATATCGAACGGTTTTGGAAGGAAACTCGCGCAGTGGCGATTATTTCTAGTGCTATTATCCGCCATGGGGATTTATGAGAGGCGGAATCGAACACTGTGACAAAGTCAACAAAGCAGACGTCCGTCGGCACCTATGACAGAATTCAAGAACGCGTACCTAGTGCGTATTCATGGCCAACATGAAATCCGGTTTGATTGATACTTGCCTTAGAGTCATGAAACACACCACAGTGGAAACTCTCATCATCAAGACAGACACGAATTTGCAAGAACCTCAGTCATAAAGAACTATTTAATATCCTCATGCTTGTTCGATTACCCCATGAAGCCAAGGTGTCGACACAAGTCTTGTATGTTTCAAAGGGAGCACCATGGCCTCCGGACGCTTTATTGTTGTGTAGAATTCATTGACGGAAGAACTTCTCTCTCAGGAGAGGAGTCGCATAAAGGGATAAGACACAGAGCTAGATGTACTGATCGTTGCAGTTCAGTAAATACTCGAAATGCCCGCACCATCTCCTGACTTAGACCCAGTTGTCAGCTATAAAGCCGCTATTCATCCCGAACAGTCACTCAGTGCGGGCGGGCTTACCACTAATTTGATGGTTATCGGGTATAGATTTCGAGTGCCACCGACCTCTGAGACTTGCTCTATGTAGGTCGCTTGTTCACCTTAATATTCTTGCCGGTCATCCCTAGCCGACTTTGCCGTAATTTTCCAAAGTCGGCGGAAGGAATCATCGTTGTGAGACATGTGCGAACGATAACATGGCCCGACCCACAAGCGCTCCCGATTGCCACACCACCCATCGATCTGTTATCGCGAACCCAGTCGCAGAACCTTGAACAAACTAGAACGTATTCCAACCGACTGACCGTAAAGTGGTCAATCGAATAGGAGGTGAGCGGATGTTTGCGGATGATGTCGAACACTCGGTCCTGAATAAAATTCTGCAACTCCTCGCCTTTGTCGCATCAAGAATCCAGCCAAAGCCGACCAATATGGTAATCGTTTGGAAGGTCGTCTGGTTTAGTCCGATCATTCCAGCCCCGCCAAGAAGCAGCAGATCACGGCTAGAAAGTCGTTCGAAAAAAATATTGCGGCTGTGAGTAGACCTCTTCACCGCTGGGATCAGCAACAGATGTTGACATACAAACATAGATAACAGGAATTTTCTTAAAGTAAATTAAGGATCGCATATAAGCTAACCGGTCGTTGACTGGTTCGCCTACACCACTGGATTAGTGCTGCGGAACGCGTCGGCTTCCGCCCGCGCCCTCACATGGATTGTCAAACAGCAGCGACACCTTGGGGACTTTGAGGACAGGTGAGCCATCAACAGCAGCTCCGATACTTTTTTGACACTGTCTCCTCTATCATTGGACCCTAGCCATACAGCAGTGATGCTAAGTAAAAATAATTCACTGAAGCTCATGTTCGCCATGTCTAATGTCACTAACCGGCTTGGCAGCGTGTCAGATTTCCGCTCTCCGGTCCACCCGAGAGCCTGCTTTATATGCAGCTGACCGTCACTACAGGCCAGTCCAATATCCGACAACTGCGAAGGCGCCAGTTAGCTAACGAGTAACCGGCTGAGGCAAAAAAGAACTGGGATGAAGCAGCCGCAGCGTGAGTCGCCCAAACGGGGACGCCATTAAGGATGGGCGCAGACAGGACGGACGAAAGAGCCTCCAACAAGCACCTATCAAATGAACTTTGACCCTGCGTGGACCCTGTTCATAGCTAGCAGGCGTTGGTAACTTTCCTAAAGATTGGAGTAATCACCTTCAAAACCAACCGAGTATTCGCTACCAAGACAAAGAGAGGCCCGCAACATCCGAGTGCTAAGAGCCAATGGCGCAAGCCCTCAGCCCCTGTCATAGTGTGCACGCTGCCAACGGATATTCCGGGCACGAACTGACCTCGCTGAATGTCTGCGAATGGAAATAAGAGCAATCCGTCTCATAAAACACCATTGCCAGAACGCATGAGAACACTCCATTCTCACTAAACTTCATTGTGAGC